GATTTGGCTATGGCTGAAGCCAGCCTGACAAAGACACAGTAAGGTCCAGCCCCTAGTAAATTTGAGCACTGCTTCAGGGAAAATCCCCTTTGTTGGCCGCCTGCCCCACTTGCCCACCTCCTGGGCAGAGTAACCAATTAGAGCTGCTACAGAAAGAACACTCTCTCTCCCCTCAGCACCTTGACACCATTCTCATAGGAGAGGCAAAGAGAGGAAGGTGCTAAAGAACTCGGGTGGTTTTGTTCTCACCTCTCTCCTATGCCACTGTGAGCAAGGGTGATGGTGGTTCTCCTTTTCCTCTAAGAAGCCTGCCAGGGGTTAGAGGAAGCCTGGGCAGGAGAGTGGAAGGGGACTGAGTGCAGAGGTCAGAGCAAGAGACTGCATGGCACAGAGGAGAAGCCACTTGCAGAAGGGATTCCCAAAGATCTCTACCCTAAGCCCAAAAGAATGCTCACGAGCCATGAGGAAACTGAGGCAGAAAAATATGTACCGGTGTGTTTATTATTTGATCTAGAGCAGAAGTTCTCACCCTTTTTTTTCCTTGAGGCTTTTCCCAACCTATAAAAACTACACGGTTGACCTGTGCCACAAAAATTGTTTTTATTTAAATCCAATAGATTAAAATTGCATTAAACTGATTGTTACACAGTAAAATACATATACCGTATATTCCGGCGTACAAGACGACCTCTGAAGTTAAAAAACATCCCCCAAAAATCGGGGGTCGTCTTGTACGCCGGATGCCCCGCCGCCGGAGCCCCTCCGCGGCTTTGAAAGCCTTGGGGGAAGCCGGCGGCGGGGGGTTTAAATCCAATAGATTAAAATTGCATTAAACTGATTGTTACACAGTAAAATACATATACCGTATATTCCGGCGTACAAGACGACCTCTGAAGTTAAAAAACATCCCCCAAAAATCGGGGGTCGTCTTGTACGCCGGATGCCCCGCCGCCGGAGCCCCTCCGCGGCTTTGAAAGCCTTGGGGGAAGCCGGCGGCGGGGGGT